GGGGCTGTCACGGTGACAACAAACGCACAACAAACCCCGGCCCTTAGGAACCGAAACCCGAGCTGCTCAGCCCGGTCCCCTGGGCGACCTGCCAGCCCTGGCTCCTTTCCCCCAGGCCTGCCTGTCCCCACGGGCCACCTCCTGGCTCTCTGGGCTCTGCAGCCCCCAGGTCCTTGCTGGTTTCACCTCCCTCTTCACAGCCAGGCGCTGTCACCTCTGAGCTGCTGCACCTTGAGCACCTGCTGTCGTGTCCTGTGAGGAGTGGGAAGGAGGTGGGTGCAGGGCAGTGTCCCCCTGGTGCCCCCTTCTCCATGTCTGAGCTCTGCCAGGACCAGCTGGACTGAGGAGAAACTCGGCTGGTCCAGTTCTGCTAGGTGAGCCCCCACACCTGCCCTGCCCACCTGTGCCTGTCCCCTCTGGGATGTCCCGGCCATCAGGCACCTGGTTGCCACTTGGCTTCTGGCTGGGCTGTGAAACAGCAGCTTCTGCTGCTGGAAGGGTCACAAGGCTGGCTGGGGGATGTGACAGCACGTGGCCCTTCATCTGGCCACCTGGGGCCACCCAAAGGGACCAGGTTCTGTGACATGTCTGTGTCCTCTGACACCAGTGACCCCCCCAGTCACAGACTGGCAGACTTGGTCACCCCTGGAGGTCTCCAGGGGCTTGGGACCCAAGCCAGGATCAGTAAGAGCAGGTTGCTCAGGCCTTTGTCCAGTCAAGAGGTGGCAGCAAGGTCCCAGCAGGGACCACATTGTCACAGGGCTGTGCCCCAAAGCTCGGGGTGCAAGGGCAGAGCTGATACCCCCAGGGCAGCTCAGCTGTGGGGGCACCCGTGTCCATCCTTGGCCTGTAGCTTCTCTGCACAGGGACCAGGGCAGGCAGGGACCACAGGGTGCCAAGGGCTTCCTGGGCTGTTGGAGACCATCCCCTCAGCTGCTGGTGTCCCCACGGGACCCTGCGTGGCAGGAACCACCCCCCACACCACGTCCCCTTGGTGCCAACAGCTCCCCGAGATGCTGTGGCTGGTGGCACCAGGCCAGGGAGTGCCAGGGCAGCTGGGCAAAGAGCTGAGGTGGGGCTGTGAGTAAGTGCTGTGGGCTGTGTCAGGACTCCATGGCAACCACAATATTTGGGTGCTGCTCCAGCCCCACAGCACCCGCAGGGAGCCCCATGTGTGGTCAGGCTGCAGGCAAGGGGGAGGCAGCAGCTGGGGTGGGCAATGCTGGCAGGTGGCTTGTGGCCCCCAGGAGGGTCCCACCAGGTCCTGTAGAGGGGACAGGTGCTTGCTGGCCTGCCAGGATGGCTGGCACATGTGTGGTCAGGCTGCAGGCAAGGGGGAGGCAGCAGCTGGGGTGGGCAATGCTGGCAGGTGGCTTGTGGCCCCCAGGAGGGTCCCACCAGGTCCTGTAGAGGGGACAGGTGCTTGCTGGCCTGCCAGGATGGTTGGCATTTGCCCCCACAGCCTTTGCTTCATGGTGGCACCCACAAAGAGGGGCCCGTTCCTTTAGGCAGGGGC